GACCGGGCCAGCAGGGGAGGGCAGTTAGAAGTAACCAGGTCATTGGGGAGGGCGGTTGGGGGGGACCAGGCCTGCAAGGGAGGGAGGGCAGTTGGGGGGACCAGGACTGCAGGGGAGGGCAGTTGGGGGCGACCAGGCTGGCAGGGGAGAGCATTTAGGGGTGACCCGCCCAGCAGGGGAGGGCTGTTGGGGGTGACCGGGCTCACAGGGGAGTGGTTAGGGGCAATCAGGCAGGCAGGCAGACAAGCGGTTGGGAGCCAGCAGTCCCGGATTGTGAGAGGGATGTCTGACTGCTGGTTTAGTGGGATCGGGCCTAAACCAGCAGTCGGACATCCCCCAAGGGGTCCCAGATTGGAGAGGGTGCATGCTGGTCTGAGGGACACCCCCCACACCCCCAGTGCATGAATTTCATGCACTGGGCCTCTAGTAGGTTTATAAAAACTCAATTCTTCCTCCGATTGCATTCTTTATCTTCATTTCACATACTTTTAAAAAATATACTTTTACTGCTTTTAGAGAGGAAGGGAGAGATAGAAATGTCAATGATGAGAGAGAATCATTGATTGGCTGCCTTCTGCATGCCCCCTATTGGGGATCAAACCCGCAACCCAGGCATGTGCCCTTGACTGGAATCGAACCCGGGACTGTTCAGTCCGCAGGCTGATGCTCTATCCACTGAGCCAAAACAGCTAGGGCTTATCTTCATGTCTTATAATACTCAGGTGAAAACAAATTCCCAATCTGCAGACCAACAGGAACCAGAGATACTGGTTATGCCCAAATAATGAAGTAAGTCAGATTCAGTGATGCAATTATCATCAGCATCTCACTGCAGTTTTTCTTGTACAAGATTCTCTTGGCCATGCTGCTCTCTCATACCTTTTTATATCTTCTCTACAGTTTCTAAAGTTAAACAAAGTCATTAAGCAGATGTTTCTGAGACCCCCTCCAGATGAACTGTTTGGAGTCACTGTTTTTTAGAGGTAATCAGGTGTAGATAACTTTTCTTCTATTTTGTGTCTTTTTGGAGAAAAATCAAGAAACATATAGGAATATATAATCAACCATTTTCTTTCATAGATTCCAAATATAGATAAAAAGACATTTTATGCTGAATTAATTTTTTATAGACTCAACATTTATATAATACCATAATGAATGTAAACAGTAAGGATAACTTTAATTCTTGATTCCTAAACAAAATTTTGACAAGGGTCACTCCACAGATTACTGCCCTCAATAACTGGCAATCTTGAAAAGAGCTTCTTACATAGCATCCCAAACACCATGAACTCTTCTAGTGGAAAACCATGCATTAATTTTATGTGCTAGGTTCACACAGGCACTCAAAGATGATAGTAATTTATTAAAACAAATATATATGCCCACAAAAGTTGGAAATTATTATATATATAAAATACTGATTAAAAATGTGGGAACAAATGTTCAAATTGAATGAATTATAGTAAGACGAGCCGTGTGTGTAGACTTTAAATTCATATTTTATTTTATTTTAACAGTTATTTAACTGTTTTCTTACCTTCTTTTATTCTTTCCAGGTATGTCTGCATGTATCGATTCACCATTTTAACATTCGTAATGACTTCATTCCATACCCACCATTTGCTGTGAAAACCATCAATCACATACCAGTTCTGATGTTGTTCTTGGTAATATTGCTTAATCTCAACAATATTTTTGTGGTACTTGGACTTCTTGACAGCTATAATCTGTGAGCTATTGTGTAATGGATAAGGCAAACTAATGGAGAAATAGAGAAGGAATGGAAAACGCTGTTTAAAACATACTTTTTCCCCCTGGATGATTAAAGTTCATTCCTTAATCGCTGTTTTCATCCCATCCCATTACCTTTGTTCCTTTTTTTTTTCCAGGAGCAATCTTTTGAAAATCTCCTTGGAAGGTACATCCAACTCAAAGATGATCAGGGGAATGATTGACTCGGCCTCCAAAAGACTCACTTGATGCTTGGTTACCGGATATCCATCGATGATAACACTAACAAGGAGAAACATGAAAATAAAAATTTCAGATTTCTTTTCTCTCAGACCTTCCTTTCTTTCTACCAGACCAGTTGATCTCTTTATGAGTAGCTCTATGCTCTTCCTTAAGTAACTTGATCTATCATCTTTGCACTCCACTCATTTTATCTCTCTTTATTTTAAAAAATTTTAAATATATTTTTATTGATTTCAGAGAGGAAGGGAGAGGGAGAAAGAGATAGAAATGTCAATGATGAGAGAGAATCATTGGTTGGCTGCCTCCTGCACGCCCCCAACTGGGCATCGAGCCCACAACCCAAGCATGTCCCCTGACTAGGAATTGAACTGGTGACCTCTTGGTTTCTGGGTCGCTGCTCAACCGCTGAGTCACACCCGATGAGGCTCTCTCTATATATTTCTTTTTTATCTTAGTCAGCTCAAGGCTCAGGAGGAAGACAGTATACACAGGCACACGGCTCTGAACTCATACACTTAGCATCATAGAACTAGGTTTTGGCAGGATTCAAGAGATAACATTAATACTGTGTTATTCAATTGAGGAGGCTAGGGTGTGTGGAAGGGGAGGTGAAGAGGTGGTGAGAGAAGCCCTATATTTCTGGGAGAGAGTCATTCCATCAGGACCCATCATGCCACTGGGCAGAAATGAAGGAGAATTTGTTAGTCCAACAGTTTGAAATAGTGGGAGTGTTACTATCAAACTGGGAGGAGGAGTAAAGGCTGTTCATAAATTCTGGGAGGAGTGGTCCCCAAAATCAGGGAGATGCTGGCTGATGGTCATCAGGAAGGGATAGTTTGGAGTAAGTCACAGGAGGCCTTCCTTCAATACTCCCAGCCAACTCTCTAGCCACTAAATAGTTCCACATTTCCTGGCCCAGCAGAGTGTAAATTAACCTAGCCACGCAAGCTTAACAGACAATGTATGGGGGTGTCCTTGTCGTTGTCTTTAATGGAGAGTAGCTCAATTTCTCTCTCCTGTGAAGGGTTACTTGAGGGGCCCTCAGGATTGGGGAAATTCAGGGAAAATAGGTAGTCACTCTCCTGGTATTAAGGTGAAATAGAAAACCTTTGCGACTCAAACAAGATTGCTCTTACTGAGATTTCTTGTGTGCAAAGCTGACCTCCAGGGAGGGGTAACTCAATTTGCATAAACCCCAGGATCTTCTCTGAGGAGAAAAAGACTCCTTTGATACATAGTTATAGGATATCCACATCCCAGAATCTGCTCCCTCATAACTGAAATTAGGAGAACTCTCCAAGGATTTGGTTACGCAGCAGCTGCAGGGAAGGGCAGAGACTCCTGAACATAAAACCACCTTGAGTAAATGAGGGAATCGAGGTCAGTGACCTAGGCTCAAGAGCAGGGCCTTGGGCTTCCCCGTAATTTACTACTGGGTGTGACCAGTGCCTGCACCGAGGGAGCAATGGTTGAGCAGAGGAATTTAAGCTGAAGGCATAACTCAAGCACAGACAGCCCTCCTGTCCAAACGTAGCATTCAGGGAAGGGGCACTGCTCCCGTGACAGGGGAGGGCCACTTCTCCATCACTCCAGAAGGCAATACGAAGCTCTGTTGAGTTGTGGAGGTCACACTATGAAACAGTGTGGTAATATCACTTCTCCCCCAGAGCTAGATCAGGACAGTTGTCACCAGTCAACGGGAAAGTCCAAGCCCTGAGACTTTTGGATGACTCAGGGTTGCTGCAGAGAGTCAAGTGGCCAGCTTGTTATGCTGGCCTGTCAGTGTTCAAGCCAAGTCTTAGCTCCGTAGAAAACTAAAATATGTGACCATATAGGTACCCAAAGTTTGACAAGCAGATCACACCTTTTATAAGAGCTTTAGACCCTATTTAAGACAAGTGTTTTGAATTCCAGCGAGTAATTTTTTGAATGAGTCCACCACCCCCTCCAGTTCCCCGCTTACCCTGCGGTATTACATGCACTGTGCATCATAGATACTTCTAACGCTTGAATAGCCAGTGAATCAGGTACTGTCAATCCTTTATGAAGATGCCAATTTAACATAAGTGCCAGCTCTGTGTCTGGTTGGTTGCTTAACACGGAACGCAAAGCGTCTCCTACTGACAAACGCGTTATGCCATATTCACTTGAAATTTTTTTGGCAACTGGAAAACATTAAAACATTAAACTTACTCCATTTCACAAAGTCATCAGTTAACCTTAGTGGCAGATTATGGGCAATTAATATTAACAGCAAACTAATCTTCACATTCCTCAAAGAAATTTGGAAAATTAAAATTGTTACATTTTACTGAATTAATACTGTCAAAGGTCAATTATTATTAATACTTCAGGTATGTGGCTGATGAATCTGGGTAATGAACCAACTGTGGGTTTTTCTCATAACTCAACCAACACTTAAGTTTTCTTTGCCTTCTTTTGCATGAGGTAGCAAAATTATCGAGAGCTTTACATTTTATGTGTGCTATTAATGTTTGGTATTATGTCCAAAATAACTCAGTTAATCCTCTAGGAAATAATTTTCATAAATTATAATGGCATACTAGACATTTAAATAGTAATTTACAGATTATGAGGCCATTTTTCTTCTGTAACTGATATTTTCAACTATTCCACCTAATGGGTAGCATGGATATTGAAATTCTAATTTTATACATGAGACAACTGAAGCCCAACTAAATGGAGTGATTTGTCCAAGGTCATGTAGAAGTTGCCATTGGTTGAAAGAAGACTCACCTTGGCCTGTGCTTCTTCTGAATGAGACCAAGCAATGGCTTCCAGGAACTAGTACTACAGGTGGGAGTGCTCTGTTGGGGTCCATATACCTTGCCCTCCTCTAGAGACAGCAGTGTGTAGAGGCCCATCTCATCCCATAGGAATGCAGATTAGTTGATTACAGTTAAGATCACCCAAAACAGAGATGGCAGAACCCTTAGTCTTAGTTTTGCCACAAATGCTAGAATCAAACCTATTTTTTAAAGTTCTGAAAATAATTAAGCTTTTACAATTTGACATTTTTGTTAAAGAATCAACCTCTATTTCCACAAAGAAATGAGAAATCAGAAGGTCTTGTCTCCATTTTCATTTTCTGCTGTGGTTGTGGGATCTTATTTTGAATGCCCATGTTCTGCTCACTTTGGGAAATATCATTATCTTTGTAAAACATATAGAATAGGGCTATTAAAGGCTCTTGTCACATTAAAAAGTTTAAATGAGCAAAACAAACTTCATCTGTAGAGGTGGGACACAGAACTCCCCTTTATTTTTCCTGTTGACAAACTGATCTTTGCCCTCATCTCCTCCCTTCATTCTCTAGTCTAGGAGTCATTAAGTCCATTGTTTTTCTTTTAAATATCCCCTGTATCAGCTCTTTCCATTCTATTCTTTTTTTAAAGTTTTATTTTATTGTTTAAAGTATTACAAATAGTAGTACATGTCTCCTTCCCCGCCCCCCTACTGTCTGCGTCCACTGGTTTTGCTCATATGCATGCATACAAATCCTTTGGTTGATCTCTTACCCCCTCAACTGCCTCCCCCCCACCCCCCCGCCTTTCTTCATAGGTTGTATAGTTTGTACGATGCTTCCCTGTCTCTGGTTCTATTTTTATTTATCAGTTTATGTTGTTCATTATATTCCACAAATGAGTGAGATCATGTGATATTTTTCTTTCTCCGACTGGCTTATTTTGCTTAGCATAATACTCTCCAGGTCCATCCATGCTGTTGCAAATGGTAAGAGTTCTTTCTTTTTTACAGCAGCGTAGAATTCTATTGTGTAGATGTACCACAGTTTTCTAATTCACTCGTCTGCTGATGGGCACGTAGGCTGTTTCCAAATCTTAGCTATTGTACATTGTGCCACTATGAACATAGGGGTGCATATATCCTTTCTAATTGGTGTTTGTGGGATCACTGGGTCAAATGGAAGTTCCATTTTTAATTTTTGAGGAGACGCCATACTGTTCTCCACAATGGCTACATCAGTCTGTCCATTCTATTCTTATTGCCACAACCACTGTTTGTGTTGTTACCATATCATTTTGAAATATTACAGGAACCTATTGTTGAACTATTTGCCTTTAAACACAAACACACACACACACACACACACACACACACACACAGAGTCCAAAGGTATAAAAAATTCAAACATTATAGGAATATAGTTTACAAAGTGCCTTATTCAATTCAGCAATAATTAATATAATGGATTTTTACTCTTTAAACTATTAATACAGTAGATTATACTTATAAAATATTTTAATATACTTGTTACGCTAATATAATCTTAATATACTGTTATTTGATTATGTTCATTTCTTTTCTTTTGTTTTATTTAATCCTCACCAAGGATATTTTTTTCCATTGATTTTTTAAGAAAGAATGGAAGGGAGGGAGGAGAGGGAGATAGAGAAAGAAACATCAATGTGAGAGAAACACATCGATTAATTGCCTCCCACTCGCACACCAACCAGAGCCCGGGCTAGAACCTGCAACCGAAATACATGCCCTTGACTCAGAGTCAAACCTGAGACCCGATGTTCTAATCACTGAGAAAAACTGATCAGGGCTGTAATTTCTTTTCTTATATTATCTTTGTCAGGTTTTGATATCAGGATTATGCTAATGTAAAAAGTAATTTGTATCCTTTATACCTTTTAGATTATATGGACCATATTCCTTAATAAAAAGAAATTGAAAATAAATCACGAAGCTAACTTTTTCCTTGACCTGGAAAAGCTTATAAAAACACAGGAAGGCCCTGGCCCGTGTGGCTCAATTGATTGAGCGTCATCCTGTGCACTGAAAGGTTGCCAGTTCGATTCCTGTTCAGGGCACTTGCCTAGGTTGTGGCTCGATCCCCAGTAGGGGTGTGTGTGGGAGGTAACAGATTGATGTTTCACTCTCACATTCATTCTCTCCCCTCTCCCTCCCCTTATATCTAAAATCAATAAGTACATTCTTGGGTGAAGATGAAAAAAACACCCAAAGCCACAGGAAAGATCTTTTTAGTTTTTAGCCCTTTGAAAGTTTGCTATAATTTCCCTCTAAAACTATTTGGCCCCTGGCTGTTTGGGAGTAGTGATATAGTTTTGAAAGCCTTCTCTCCAATGGTTATTGGTCTATTTAGGGTTTCTATCTCTTTTTGAGTTAATTCGGATAGTTGGTTTCTGGTGATGTGGCACTACTTTTCAGTGCATTCTTTTATGCTTACGGATAACAAAGACAAACACATCCTTACCTGTAGTTTTCCCAGACTTTGGAGGCCCCACAATTGCGATCTTAATGGGCATATTAGGCTTAGGTTTGGGTTGGCGAATATATTTGATTGGGTTCTTCATAAATTTTTCTTTAGTTTCCTTATTAGATAAAAAGTAAATATACTGACGATGGATTACAGGATAAAATGGATTATCTGGACTTTCAATTGACTTGAGTGTCTCTCCTTCACTTAGCTGTAATAGATACACAATTAATTTGAAAGTTAGTTTTAATTTACATAGTTTTTTCCCCCAAATATATTTAAAAATAAAATTTGTAGATTAAGAAAATCTTCCTTATAGAATAAGAAAACTAATTGTAATCAAATATTAATATTAAAAATTGTGAACAAATTATTTTATACCCGTACGTCAACGTTCTCAAGAGGCTTTCAGTTTATGACTACTAGAGTTCTTTTATTTCCTTTATAATGTTTTTAGTGTGTATACTCAATGTTTCTGCCAAGGAGTATTAAGTTGTTGGGATATATTCATGGGCCCATTTATCTTTACAAACAGGTCCATTGCTCAGGTAAGGCGATGGATAGGAATGTGTTACCCCAAATGCAAAGTTCAAAAGCCCAACACCCAAAGTTACTGACTTTGGAGATAGGCCTTTGAGGAAGTAATTAAAGTTAAATGAGTCCTAAGAGTGGGGCCTTAATCCAATGGGACTGGTGTCCTTATAAGCAGAGGAAGAGACACCAGGAGTGCATGAGCACAGAGGAAAGGCTGTGCAAGGACATAGCAACAGTGATCGCCTGCAAGCCAGGAAGAGAGGCCTCACCAGAAAACCATCCCTGCTGGCACCTTGGTCTTAGACTTCCAGCCTCTAGAACTGTGAGAAAATTAATTTCTGTTGTGGAAGCCACCAGTCTGTTGTATTCTGTTATGTCAGCCTGAGTAGACAAGTCGGGGGTGGGGGGCTGAGTTATCTTTTAGGACATACTGGTAGGACAAATCCCACAGGCTTCTCTTTCATATTTTTTATACAGACAAATTCCCACTCACATAATCAACAGCAGCCACAAAAGGAAAAATATCCAGGTAAAAGGCAGCCTAAGGGGTAGGGAAGGAATGGAGGAGGAGGAGGGACCCCACATCTTTGCATTGTTGATGAGAACTGGGTAATGAACTGATGCTAGGTTTATATGTCTTTTTTTTACAGCATCAGATGGCCAAGCATCAGCCATCCCTGGACTTGACAGGGTAGATGTGAAACAGCATGGTAACACTGTTCCTCCCCCAGAGCTACACCAGGGCAGTTGCCAGCAGTCCAGGGTACTGTCAACATTATCATTGTTGGGCTGGAATGAAGTTCACGGCTGGGAGTAAATGCTATGGATAAGGAGAAACTCAAGAATGGGGTGGAAATGTCTGTTCTATGTTTTATATTTGGTCATAAAAGAAAAGCTGAACATTCAATGGTTCCATTTCAAATTACCAAATTAAGTGTCAATCCTTACAGTAAGATGACACTAATACTCACGGTGTCATCAAATCAGAAATATCAAATTGTCAGGTGCCAAGGAAGATTCCTAACAGCCCTGACAAATGATTCCTTATATGCTTGCACCCTTCCTATGACCATGCACTCATTTCTCCACAAGGCATTTTTATCCAATCTTAATTATGTCTGGACATGGGTCCCTTTTTTTCCTCCCTAATTAGGCTTCTAATTTTGCCTGCTTCTTTTCCTATCTTACCTATCTCAGAGAACATTAGGGCATGTCGATTTTTTGTAGGCTTTCCAGGTGATTCTAGTACCTGCTTAACTCTATCCAATTCTCTATGCAGGGAACTGTCACAGTATTTTTACATTTTAGCATGAAATTTGAAAAGGTTTCTCTTATGATTAAGATAAAGAAAATGGCAAAATTAAGTAGAATTGAAACTGATTGTGTCAATAACAATCAAGAAGGAGGTTTCAAGTAACATGCATATGGTTTTCATTTGGACCTACCCTCCAAAATACTTTTTTTTTTATCAGCAACCAATAATAATAGTATATATTAATAACAATAACTAATACTAATTGAGTACATACAAAAAACCAAGCACTGCCCTAACCGGTTTGGCTCAGTGGATAGAGCATCAGCCTGCGGACTCAAGGGTCCCAGGTTCGATTCTGGTCAAGGGCATGTGTCGAGTAACACTCCCTCCACGTTCTGCATGGAGTAGGGTTCGGTATCTGAAAGTGGAGCTGCACAACAAATGAGAGAAAAAGACACGAGATAATTTTGCAATATTGGGGGACCAGGCGGGCAAGTCCTGAAGGACTTCCTCCTGTGCTTAGGTCTCACCAAGCTTTTATTGATCTGGGATGCACTCATAGCATAGCCCTTAGGCAGGTGACCCTATTAACAGGCAGACTAGCCCATCAGCAAGGATTTACATAATAATAAATGGGAGAGTAGTTTCAGCTACCACTGTCTGGACAAACAGAGGTGGCGCCTAGCTCCGACCTTTGCTAGGGCTTCAAAGGCACCCAGCCTTCGGGGGATTTCTCTGTCTACGCTTATCAGATAGTGAAGGCAATAAATGGACTCCGGCATCCATGTACCTTGGTTGCGGGCACATCCCCAGTAGGGAGTGTGCAGGAGGCAGCTTATTGATGTTTCTCTCTCATCGATGTTTCTAACTCTCTATCCCTCTCCCTTCCTCTTTGTAAAAAAAAATCAATAAAATATATTTAAAAACAAAATAAACAAACAAACAAACAAACAAAAACAAACAAACAACCAAGCACTGTTGCAATCACTTTACAGTAATGAACTCATTTCATCACTGTAACAATCTTTTAAGGTAAGGACTATTTTTATTCAATTGTATTAACATGAAAGACTCAGAGAGGTTAAGCAATGTGTTCAAGTTTACTCAGCTATTAAGCAGTGGTTTTGAACTCAGTTTGGCTCCACAGGCCATGTCTTCTCCACTGTGCTACATCACTAATAGAAATTTGAAGGTAATCTGGTTGAGTGCGCAAATCACTACGAGATGACATTCTTTTATTGTCTTTATGCTTGATGCCATCCCATAAGAATCTGCTTGTTGACTTATTTATTGCCTATCCTTCCCCACCAACCTAACTGGAACATAAACTCTACAGCAGCAGAAACCCTGTCTTTTTTGTTCACTATTTTATTCCCAGGAACTAGAATTGGCATGTTCTTGATTAATATATGTTGAAAACCATCCTGACTATAATCAATAAGTCATCAAATAACAAATGTTGGCAAGGATGTGGAGAAAAGGAACTCCTGTGCACTGTTGGTAGGATTGCAAATTGATGCAGCCACTATGATAAACAGTATGGAGATTCCTCAAAAAATTAAAAATAGAACTACCTATGACCCAGAAATTCCACTTCCGAACATTTATCAAAGTGCCCGTCAATAGGTGACTAGACAAAGAAGATGTGGCACATATACCCAGTGAAACACTATGTGGCCATTAAAATTAATGAAAACTTAGCATTTGTGAGTTAGAGGGTATTATGTTAAGTGAAATAAGTCAGACAGAGAAAGATCATATGATTACACTTATATATAGAATCTAAAAAGCAAAATATTGAACAAACAAAACAGAAACAAACTCATAGAGAACAAACTGATAGTTGCTAGATGGGAGGGGAGTAGTTGGGGACCTGGGTGAAAAAGATGAAGGGATTAAGAAATACAAATTGGCAGTTACAAAGTAATCACAGGGATGTGAATTACAGCATAGGGAACACAGTCAGTAATACTGAAATAACTGTACAGTGTTAGGTGAGAACCAGACTTATTGGGGGAATCACTTCATAAGTTACATAAATGTCTAACCATTATGCTGTACACCTGACACTAATATAATATTGAATGTCAACTGTAACTGAAAAATAAAATTAAAATAAAAAAATGCCACAATTGAAGTTATTGAGTTCCAATTGGATTAAATCTATTTGTACACACTGCATAAAAACAAAGTACGTGGAAATAATTTTGTTATGAACACCAATGGCTCATTTTGTATTGTGTCTCACACTTTCCATAGGACTTTATACTCTTACAGTTGATCACAGTGGTCTGGTGACATTATTCTTCTATCTTACAGGCGAGGAAACAGAATCAAAGAGGTTAAATGACTTGTCTAAAATTAGATAGCAAATTAGTATCAGAATTCAGCTCTAGATGTTTAGTTTGCAAATATTTCCACTACCATCTTCTTCTGCTGCAAAGTTAAAACCAAGTTGGAATTGGGTTAGTTCTACAGAAATAAAAGAAATTAAACCTTTCAACTATTTTTCCCACTTTAGAAAGGCAAAATAACCACATATATTTATTACTACTTAAGAATTCTGACCCTGGCTGGTGTGGCTCAGTTGGTTGGAGTGTAGTTCCTCCCATGCACTGAAAGGTCATAGGTTCAATTCTCGATCAGGGTTCACACCCAGGTTGTGGGTTGAATCTCTGGTTGTCCTTGAGCTTTTATCTTTTTTTTTTAAAATATATTTTATTGATTTTTTACAGAGAGGAAGGGAGAGAGATAGAGAGTCAGAAACATCGATGAGAGAGAAACATCAATCAGCTGCCTCCTGCACATCTCCTACTGGGGATGTGCCCACAACCCAGGTACATGCCCTTGACCGGAATCGAACCTGGGACCTTTCAGTCCGCAGGCTGATGCTCTATCCACTGAGCCAAACCGGTTTTGGCCTTGAGCTTTTATCTTATTTATTTTTTAAAATTTATCTTTATTGTTGAAACTATTACAGATGTCCTTTCCCCCCCACCCCCATTGACCCCTTCTACCCTGCATCCTCCCCTCTGAGGCCTTCACCGCACTATTTTCTGTTCGATCCCCAGTTGGTGTGTCTGCAGGAGGCAACCAATCAATGTTTCTCTCTCACATCAATGTTTGTCTCTCTCCCTCTCCTTCATTTTTCTCTAAAATAAATAAAAATATATCCTTGGGTGAGGATTAAAAAGAAAAAGAATACTGTACAATGCTTACAATTTTTTAAATTATCCACTGTCTTCTTAGAGAAATACTTTAAGAAATAAAATAAAAGAACATGGCTTTCAGACGTCACATTCCTGACATTACCTTTACAGGGTCCCAGTAGCCGAATGTGCTAATATATTTGTAGGTAAAGCTGAGCAGTTTCTGAGCAAGGCGTGTTGATATTGGATAACACTTCTCAAAAATGCTTGCCCGATTTTCCACCAGTGGTTTCAGTTTTTTATTCAATAAATATTGTACAATGTGGATTTTCCGAGCTCCATTAATGATAATTAGTGGTACCAAAGACTTTTCAAATTCATCCTGATGAGAAAAAGCATAAAGCCAAATATTTTTAGTGGGAAGAAGGCTGATAGTGTTCGGTGGCAGACAGACATTGCTGGTGGCTGTCTACACGAGTTGAGAGCACAAATACTTTTCAGCTTCTGTGTGACTGCATGTTGGCAGCTAGAACCTTTGACCCCTGTGGCTCCCATGTTGCCCTTATTAAGAAAATAAATTAACTTGTTTTCATAATTCTAAGTAGTGCTGACAAAAGGAAATATAGCCCTAAAATAGACATTTCTTTAGAAATGTTCAAAAGAAGCTAAGGCATAAACCAAATTTCTTTTGTTTCATGCTCAAATGTCACTTTACGAATTAGGAAAAATGAAGAAAAATTAATAACCTGTATTCCTTGTAAATAACGTGTATCTGTTTCAAATTTGTCTAACAGGTCACCTCTCAGGCGTTCAATCGCATCAGCTTCCGGTTCTTCTTCTTCCTCACTCATCACTTCCTCCTCTTTTGGAAATTCTTCTTCAAGGATATTGTCAATAGACTCATCATCATCTGTCTCTTCGTCACTCATTTCTTCATCTTCTCTAGCAAACTAAGGGAGAAAATAGTCACTTTTACTAAACATGTGTGAAAAGTGACACTGCTAACTGGAATATTCTGTAATAACTGGATCTTAGCTGGTGTGGCATAGCAACATTCGTCTCATAACATAGTAAAACTTTAAATGTCTGGCACCCAGAAATGTAATACCTTTAAGACTCTGACACCATAGTGATCCCATAAATAAATACATTTGACAAGATATTAAGTGCTATTTTTGTGTATGGTTGTCAGAATGGTATATTTTTGATGGTCTTCAGTAAAAATATTTAATGCGATCCAAAGAGTCTAAAGCACTCACTATTTGTGTTAGTTTGGACAAGATCAGTTTCCTCAACTGTAAGATAGGAATAATAAAAGGACCCACCTCACGAGGCTGTTGTGGACATTAAAGTTAATACATGTAAAACCCTTAGGAGAGTGTCTGGCACATAGTAGGCATGCAAATGATAGCTATTATTGCTGTTGTAGCTATGGTTGTTACTTTGCATAAAGCACTGTACTAATAGAAGAGTACATGCCCTCTAGGAGATTACAGCCTATCTGAGGAAACAAGATAGTACATAAGTGATTATTAAAGAGTGACAGAATATTGATACGAGGTGGTGTTGTATAGGCTTTAAGTGCTATAGTTCAGTTGGCATACTATTGAGCCTCATAATATTGATCCTTTTGCACTGCCTCCAAACTCTTCTCCCAGAAGTATTCCCTGTCTCAATTAGAACACTGCCTCCCAGCTGGAAACCTGAAAGTTATTCTGACTTCTTACACTCCATCCCTGCACACCCGGTTTCCAAGGACTGTCATCTGAAATAATGCTCATCCTTTCTGCTCTCACTCCACTGTTTGCTCTTTCACCTCTTGCCTGCAGTCTTCTGAGTAGCTTGATATTTCCTAGTCTTTCTAACTGATTAGACCAAGCATGTCAAACTCAAAAGCTTACACGGGCCAAATAAACAAGGTTTAAGTTCATGTGGGCCACAAAAAGCAAAAGCTTCAATTTTCATAGAAACATAGGTTTATTTTGATAGAGACATGCTGAATACAAAGAGCTGAAATAAATGAGTAATTGTTAACATAAAATAATAGAACATTTTAATAAAAATTAATATTTTTCTTAAACATTAACTTACCAGACACTGAATAACTGCACAAATTAATAAGCATAACGCAAATAAACCTATTTTTCTTGTTCTCCGAAAGCGAAATACTTCCTGTTGCGTACACCAAACAAGTCAGTCCAAGACTAATGACATGGCAATCGGCTGCTAAAATATTCGCTGCTAGTATTAGGGGAGAGAAATGGTGCACCTGTGTGTAAGGTGCGTAAGGGAAATGAACGCAACACGATTATAGTAATCAGTCATTAGTGAATGTTGTAGTTCGTTATTAATAATTATGTATAACAGGATGTTGTAAAAATTAAGTTACGAAATTTAAAAAAATATATTTTTATTGATTTCAGAGAAGAAGGGCGAGGGAAAGAGAGATAGAAACATCAATGATGAGAGAGAATCATTGATCAGCTGCCTCCTGCATGCTACCCACTGGAGAGCGAGTCCACAACCTGGGCATGTGCCCTTGACCGGGGAGCCGACGCTCTATCCACTGAGCCAAACTGGCTAGGGCAATTTACAAAATTTTTATTAAAATTTTTAAATTTTAAATTTTTATTAAAACATACGGTTATGTTGGCTGGGCTGCAAAAATATTCATTGTGAGCTGCATGCAGCCGGGGAGCTGCGAGTTTGATATGCTGGGTTAGACCCTAGTGCAGCCGTGGGCAAACTACGGCCGCGGGCTGGATTCGGCCCGCTTGAAATGAATAAAACTAAAAAAAAAAAAAGACCGTACCCTTTTATGTAATGATGTTTACTTTGAATTTATATTAGTTCACACAAACACTCCATCCATGCTTTTGTTCCGGCCCTCCGGTCCAGTTTAAGAACCCATTGTGGCCCTCGAGTCAAAAAGTTTGCCCACCCCTGGCCTAGTGCCTTTAAAAGGTGTCTGGAGGTGGGGTTTGAACTGTAAGGTGCAGGGAGGAAGATGAGAGGATAAGGGCCCATTCCTGTTCTGTCTACACTCCCTCCTCTCATTACAAAAGGAGCTTGGCAATGGGATAGTGTTTCTCACTTCTGGTTCTTCTTTTTTTTATTAGAACTTTGAAACCACTTGGACTCTTGCTACTTTTCTCTTTTTCTTATACTTCAACAATTTTTAATCCTGAGCTTCGGTTTTCTACGGATCATTGGAAGTGGGGTGGGATGAGCCCGCACTGCCAGCTGGGGACATTTTAGTTCCAGATGAACTTGTGCTCACCTGAGTACCTGGGTATGTATCTCTCTATTAACTACTCACCTGGGCTCAGTGCCGCACAGTTCTGCTTATGTGCTGCCCGGCTCCCTGTCCTGGCTCTGCCTATCTTTCTTCTGCCTGTGACTGCTCTACATTTTATAAATTAGAAGGGACACAGGCACCAGAGAAGGAGCCAGTGGCAGGAAGAGAGACAAGACTATGCAGCGAGGAGTAAGAGCAGAGGGAAAGCCTCTGAGGAGGTGGAAGATATGCAATGTAAATCTCGAGATGAAGGGGAGTGGCCTATAAAATATTTTTTAGTCACATTTGGAGACTAAAGTTCCACACGAAGGCAACATTTTCCTACGAAATTAATGCCTGCAGTCACCTTGAGACTGAAGCGATTTCTAATGCTAACATGTTTTATTTGCTGCTAAAAAGCCAGGCAGTAAAGGCAATGACTTTTGTTAAGGGTGAGAGGACAACCCTGGGTAGGGGTTCATGTGGTTAACTAGTTGCATATGGTTAACTAGTTGCAAAAAGGTGAGTCATGGAACTGCATATTCTGTTCATAGAGGCAAATGATGAAAGGCTCCTGCTTCTCTCCATAAAAGCCAACTCCAGGGTCTATGTAGTCAGGATGGATTCGACTCAGGGTGTCATGTTAACTGACTATAGCAATCACACTAAGTGATCTTTTAGATGCTATATTTTGTTTAGTCTTTCTTTGTCTGAGGCAGTAGCGGGACATATAAAATTTCTATCAAAGGGAGTGAAAAAAATCACACAGTTTTGATCTTTGAATCATTTAACATCTCAGGAATTGTCTTCCAAAAGTCAGTTTGTATAAATTAATTGTGTGGGATACATAGCCAATTTTATAAAAGACTAGAGGTCTGGTGCACGAATTCATGCACAGGTGGGGTTCCTTGGCCTGGCCAGCGATGGGGCCAATCAGGGCCAGTGGTGGGGGGGCCGGAGGGGGGAGGGACCACAGGAGGTTGGCTTGCTGGGGGAGGTTGGCTGTGGGAGCGAGCACTGACCAGCAGGGGGCAGCTCCTGCATTGAGCGCCTGCCCTCTGGTGGTCAGTGCGCACCATAGTGACCTGTCGTTCAGTCACTTAGGCAAAATATATCAATTAAGTCTCAGGAGAGTTAACTTACAAAAACCTATTTAATTTATAAGATGGAATAGTGAATCTTAGAATGAAAATATTAAGAAACTTTACATTATAATATTAACAAATGGGAAAGTTATAAATTAAGAAAATTTATAAGATTTATGAATTTATAAAATGTATCCTGGAAACTAATTCTCTTAGGGAAAAGAAAATGTAACTGAAGACTAGCAAAGAAGGGAAATTAAAGTACCATTAATTAGGGAAACTAGGTATTATTAAATTTTCCCATTTCCTTTTTTTAAAATAATTTTTATTGATTTCAGAGAGGTAGGGAGAGGAAGAAAGAGACAGAAACATCAATGATGAGAAAATTATTGATTGGCTGCCCATTGCACATCCCACACTGAGGATCAAGCCCACAACCTGGGCATGTGCCCTGACCAGGAATCGAACTGTGACCTCCTGGTTCATAGGTTGACACTCAACCACTGAGCCATGTTGGTAGGGCAATTTTCCCATTTTCTAATGAAAAAAACCTAGGCTCAGAGAGATTAAATAATGCTCAATGTTATACAATAGCAACAAAACAACTGTAAGTTTAGTGCCTGCTATGTGTCAGCATTATGTTAGGCACTGGGTAGCCATCAATGAACAAATTCAGAAAGAACTGGAGAGATTATACCAGGTTAGATCAATTCCATCCCAAAGTCTGTAATCCTTTGGTAATTAATATGCCTGAGACATTTGAGGTGATTCTTAAGGGGACCACTAAGGACTCTCAAGGGCTAGAGGTAGTTAACTGTAGTTGGTCCCAGGTTAGGATGTCTGTGTGTGTGTTTTAAATATATATTTAAAAATATTTTTATTGATTTCAGAGAGGAAGGGAAAGGGAGAGAGAGATAGAAACATCATTGATAAGAAAGAATCATTGATTGGCTGCCTCTTGCATGCCCCTTATTAGGGAACAAGCCCACAACCCAGGCATGTGCCCTTTACCAGAATTGAACCTGGGACCCTTCAGTCTGCAGGCTGACGCTCTATCCACTGAGCCAAACCAGCTAGGGCTTACATATGTTTTTTATTTATTTCAGAGAGGAAGGGAGAGGAAGAGAGAGATAGAAACACTAATGATGCATTGATCGGCTGCCTCTTTCCTATATGTCCCCCAGTGCGGATAGAGCCTACAACCTGGACATGTGCCCTGACCAGGGAATCAACTGTGACCTCCTGGTTCATGGGTGGATGCTCAACCACTGAGCCACACCAGCTGGGCAGGGTGTCTGTCTTTTTTATCCTAAACATTAGCATGACTCATTTGACAGAGTAGAATTTCAGAACATGTTTGTTCAGGGAATGGACATTAGGCCAGAGACTTTGTAAATTCTGTTCAGGGTTGATTGTCCAGTGCTAAAATAGCATCAGGCAGGTAGTAAGTGCTCCATTAAGGTTACTGATGAACTGACTGCATGAATGAAGATCAAAACAAAAGAAGAGTGCTCTTGTTCCTTAGATGGTGCCATAACTTTCTCCATCTAATAGTTTAAGATCAACTTTTGGTTGTAAATACTTTGGACAAAGAAATAATTCTTCTGGCCCCTCTTCTGCAATGTTTTGACCCACAGTTACAGTTGGACTATATCAGGAGTCTTTGAGCATGTCCACACCAGGGTGACATATGGTGGCATGTGTAGCCAGCCCTATTTTCTGTTTTTCCTCTTTTGTTGAGTTAAATTTTTATGTAGATGGAAATCAGATTACAGAAGAGTCAGCCTTGAAAAGATGATACAAGAGTACCTTAAAAGATGATATAAGAGTGCCTTAAACCAGAAAAAAATGGAAGGAGGCAGAGACTATCTTATTGTTTGCCTTGGTTGCCAGGTTTACTTGTAAGTTGATTGTATAATGACCTCGGGTCCTTTACAGAACTAGCTGGTCTAGTTACACCTCCTCTGAACTAGTTTGGCTGTAGCATTTGGGTCAGCAAGGTCAATTTGGGAATAGCTCCTCTCTAAACAAAAAAATCCATAGTCTTCAAGGTTTATGTTTTTTAAAAAAATCAGCAGATGGAGAGGAGCTGTACTGAGCATGCTGCACAGAACATGACCCAGAGTTCACTTGGCTCTGCCCTGTTGCATCCTTTATCGCAAGATAATCTATATTTTAGTTGCAGCAGCTTCCCAGGCTCCCTGTCTGTACCTCAATCCCAAGCTCTAGCCCATCTCCTATGGCATGGCTGGAAGTGTGAAAGCAAAACTAAAATTCCAAAAGAAGCATAGTTTAATGCAGTGTTATATTTTACATTAGATTACTCAAACATCTCTAGTGGTTTTCTTTCATTTTTTTTTCTGATTTCAAAAATAATAAGAGGTCATTGTAAACAGTCATGGAATAACAAAAGGTATAAAAAAATAAAAATGAGGCTGGCTGGAGTGGCTCAGTGGTTGAGCATCCACCTATGAACCAGGAGGTCACGGTTTGATTCCTGGTCAGGGAACATGCCCGGTTGCAAACTCGATCCCCCATGTGGGGCGTGCAGGAGGCAGCCAATCAATGATTCTCTCATCATTGATGTTTCTCTCTCTCTTCCTCTCCCTCTTTCTCTAAAAAATTAAAGTGATATAATCTCACTACTTGCACATAAACTCTATTTCTTTCAATACTTTTTAATGCCTCTTTTTATTTTATACTGTTGACACATACACACAATGGGTGTCCTGCTTTTTTTTAAAAAAAGTTTTACTTACCTCCTCTTTCCTTCTTTTCTCTTTCTCTGCTACAAGTTCAGCCCTTCTTTTAGCAATCATATCATCCTATAAAAAAACAGACATTAAAAAATTGTAATGAATAATGGAAACTAATGAGCCCACTGAGGTTTGGGGGCTCACTGGCTCAGGGCTTTCCAAATGCAATCCCTTTAAGTCCTAAGAGATTAGAGTGGTGCCTGAAGACGTGCTCTGGGGCTCAGGCCTGGGCCAGCAGGACCCTGTGTTTTCATCTGGCAACTAGTGAGTAAACATTCTGAAGAATTCATGTTTTGTTGACACTCAAGAAAGATTTGTAGACAGAATTATAAAACTCAATGGAATGGAATTCATTTAGTTTTTGAGCCCCCAAAGAGATTCTCTAGCTCTTTAGAGGGTGAGAAGGTGTTTTAACTGTATAGTTGGAAAAACATAATACAGTCTCCTTTGCGTTTTCATAACATACATAGAGAACACTGTACTACAAAGAAATGCGAAGTATGCACAATAACACACATGCATATTTTGAGTCTATTTTTTTCTCTGATCCTTTCACTCAAATAAGTTGTGGTTAGTGAAGTTTAACTAACCGTTGTATGTTTGCTAGATGCCATTACTCTTAGGAGCACTGCAATAAATACTGGACATATTTACATTTTTTCTGCTTAAAACATGCAAAGTAGACAGTATTATTCTACTCTATAGGTGAGTTAGCAAAGTCAGAGGATTTAACTCATGTAACGTCACAGGGCTCGTGGAGGATGATGCAAAAAACTTCCAGACAAGGAAATGGAAAAGCACATGGTATGTTGGGTGCTGCAGAGGAGGGTTGGTATTTGTTCTAACTAAGGAACAAGGGTAGAAAAAGGATTTGGAACAAGATTGGTCGGCTTCCAATGACAGAACAATGAGTTCAGACCTAAGAGGGCAGCTTGGTCAGAGTTTTAGGAAGTATCAGGAAGAGTAGCCTAGAGATGACCAGAAGGATGACCTAGGGCGGTGATGGCGAACCTTTTGAGCTCGGCCTGTCAGCATTTTGAAAAACCCTAACTTAACTCTGGTGCCGTGTCACATATAGAAGTTTTCTGATATTTGCAACTATAGTAAAACAAAGACTTATATTTTTGATATTTATTTTATATATTTAAATGCCATTTAACAAAGAAAAATCAACCCAAAAATGAGTTCGTGTGTCACCTCTGACACACGTGTCATAGGTTCGCCATCACTGACCTAGGGGGACCAGAGATGAAGCCAGAAGGACAATTAGGAGATCCCTATAGGAGTGCTAGGTGTGGGCTGAGAAAGATCTGAACCAATGTGTAGAGGTAAAAGGTACAAACTCTCTCAGCTACTTTGTGTGTTTCCCTCAGAGGGAATTACTTTGTATGTAAGAACTCAGGTATTCTATCTGGATGTCTATCACATTTAGTTTATCCATTCATCAGTCGATGGCCATTGGGTTATTTCTCCTTTTTGGCTATTATGAATAATGTTATTATGAGCATTCATATACATATTTTTATGTGGACATGTTTTCATTTCTGTTAGGTAGATTTCTAAGAGTGGAATTGTTGGGTTCCTATGACACTTTTGAACATTTTATGGAATACTCCTCACATTACAGTTTTAGAAAAGATGTTCTAAGCTAATATCTGTATCTGTTTCACCACAGGCTTACATAGCCTTAATGGATGGTGTCATAATTCCAGGAGCTAGTGAAAAAAGGCACTGATAATTTTAATTTTTTGTGTTTTAAGGTCTGCTTCACTTGCTGCCTCTTCCACTATGTACCTGTGTCTGATATAGGGATACTTTGGTGCTACCAAAATCTTTAATTTTATTTGCCTTGGAGAGAGAAATATTAACATGTTGATAACCACATAGGCCTCAAATAAATCTTAACTCTTTAATCATAAATATTCTTAATATTTGATGAAGAGTGTTTTCATATTGACTATGCTATTAAAATCAGAAAACTACATTTTTGTAAAGACCACTTTATAATTTAACTAGAGGCCCAGTGCATGAAATTCATGCATGGGTATGGTCCCTAGGCCTGGCCTGCGATCAGGGCCATCTTCTCCAGCTGCCCGCAGCTGGCCCTGCCCCCTGCCACCACCCACCCCCAGTGCCCTGTTCGCCATCGGGCAATCAGAGCCTGATGGCTAGAGGGAGGGACCGAGAGGTAGGCTGTTCCTGTCCACTCGCCGGCCCCATCACTGCCCCCGCCTCAGGTCGCCCTCTGTGTGTGGGGCGACCAGCGGGGTGGGGGCCTTGGCCTGGAGCCACCCACATCCCCCACCACCCATCCCCGGTTCCCTGTTCACCATCGGGCGATCAGAGCCTGCCAGGTAGGGAAAAGGACCGAGAGGTGATCAGTGCGCCTCAAAGTGACTGGTTGCGTGGTCGTTCTGCTGTTAGGGTCAATTTGCATATTACCCTTTTATTATATAGGATTATTATATAGGATACAGAAAAAATTTACTCTAAAACTGTTTTACGAGATACATACCCTGATTTTTGCCTTCATTTCTTTAATGAGTAGTTTCCTTTCTAATTTCTTCTTCTGTTTCAGTTTCCACTTTTCAATTTGGGGAGGCAGGAGCCGATCACAAACATCTTGATCATCAACTTGTATTAAAACAGCAGCATCTGGGAAAAATCCATGTTCCCCTAGAAGCTGGGCCTCATCAGGATATCGTGGGAAACCATCTAATATAAAACCTGTGGAACTAGGCATGAATTGCATAATTTATTTTAAATATTACATTATAAATATTAGTTTAAAAATGAAAAAAGTATTGATCTCAACTTTCTATAAGATGTGCAATGAGTAGTCTAAAAAGTAATCTCTCTTAGTTCTTTTAATATTTCTACTTGCATAAACATGATGTGTCTTTTCTCAAATATATTGAATTAAATTAAAATGATAATATTTTATTCTTATATTTATAATGTAGATAAGTTCTCTTTAATTATAAATAGTCTTAATATTTGATGAAAATTAAGAGAAAATAAATTCTCTGCCTAGGAGGAATGCCCAGCCTAAGGAACTTGTTACCCTTTATAAAGAGGTAGGTGTGACAAGCTGACCTTTAGTGGGAAGCCATCCTTCAGTAGTTTTTCTTTTAATGATGCTTCCTTTCATGAAACAATTCATACTTCCTTCCCTGGGTCCCCTTGTAACTCATGACAATTATGTATGTATGTATCCTGGCTCATACGTATTAAGATGATTATAACCAAATAGGCTTATCAAACTTGTTTAAGTATGATGAAACTTGAAGAATCATGAAAATAACTACAATGCTAACACATGTTCATTGTGAAGTAACTAACTATAAAACAATCAGACTTTACCCTAGCTGGTTTGGCTTAATGGATAGAGCGTTGCCCTGCAGACTGAAAGGTCCCAGGTTTGATTCCAGTCAAGAGCACATGTCCAGGTTGCGTACAGGAGGCAGCCGGTTAATGATTCTCTCTCATCACTGATGTTTCTATCTCTCCCTCTCCCTTACTTTCTGAAATCAATAAAAATATATTTAAACACACACACACACACACACACACACACACACACACACACACGAAACAAATAATTAAGCTTTGAGAACTCGGCCTTGCTTTATTGGTCCCCTTGTGAATGAAAGTTTATTATGCTTATCTAAAATTTGGTTTGTTTAAATATTTATATTTAGATATGTTTTCTTAATATGAACAGAGCTTTCATTAACATTTGACAGTTTCAGCCCTTAATTGGCATTTAAAATGTTTTCTATCTTATTAAATGGGCAAATTTCCATAAAAATGGCTACACTCCCAAAGATTTTGATTCAGTTATTTTGGGTTGGGGCCTAGCATCAGTATTTTATAAATAATTTCCCAGCCCTAGCCGGTTTGGCTCAGTGACAGAACGTAGGCCTGGGGAATGAAGGTTCCCAGGTTTGATTCTGGTCAAGGGCACATGCCCGGGTTGCAGGCTCAACTCCCAGTAGGGGGCGTGCAAGAGGCAGCCAATCAATGATTCTCATCATTGATGTTTCTATCTCTCCATCCCTCTCCCTTCCTCTTTGAAATCAATAAAAATAAATATATAAAATAATAATTTCCCAGATGTTTTTAATGTATAGAATCACTAATTTACATGAGAGTAAAGAAGAACATTTTAAAATTTATGTTGTATTACGTTTTAGAGCAGTGATGGTGAACCTATGACACACGTGTCAGAGGTGACACGCCAACTCATTTTTTTGGTTGATTTTTCTTTGTTAAATGGCATTTAAATATATAAAATAAATATCAAAAATATAAATCTTTGTTTTACTATGGTTGCAAATATCAAAAAATTTCTATATGTGACATGGCACCAGAGTTAAGGTTTTTCAAAATGCTGACACGCCGAGCTCAAAAGGTTCGCCATCACTGTTTTAGAGTTTTGAGAATAAGGCAAATAAAAGTCAATCAATGTATAATCCTATATAAATTAAGATACCGTATTGGTTCTTTATGCCACCACTCAGAAAGAATGTTTTCTAGAATTTCGGGAGGCAATGCTTCATTTTCCATTAAATATAATCTGATTGCTTCTTCTTCTTCTGTAAATTGCACTTCTGGAGGCTGAACACAAAAATCAGAAAACAAAACAAATTCAAAACTATATTAATAAACAATACTCTATTACATAGTTGATTAAGATGACACCTGTTTTTTCTCAGGACATTTTTTTATATTGTTGCTTTTAAACCTTTTAATATTTATGCTTTTTTCTTTAAACCAATATCTTATATGGTTTTAAATATTAAATTATATCTACTGTAGCTAAGAGGAGCTACTAGCGATTAGCATAACTGATTTTCATACATGACCTCAGGATATCTGTCTCATCACTTTTTGCTAAAACCTTGTTCAATCTATAACTGATTTTTGTCATCTATCTTATAGTTACTAAAAGTAGATCCTGATTAAAGAATGGGCTAGCCAGGGAGTCATCTGAAATGCAGTCTGTACCTGGATCTAATTACAGTGGGTCCTTTGAGAAGAAAAGGGTCTTGCTACATCAGAAATGGTTAAAAAGTGAGTTAGAATTACAACCCTAGATAGAAACCACCTAAGAGCACCATACAAACTTTCTTATGAGGCAACATGAGAAATTAATATTTTGAGATTCCCATTGGCACTGGGGCAGATTTTTATGATACATGATAACAAAAACAGAGTCCTGTCTGGTATGGTTCAGTTGGTTGGGCATCATCCTGCGCTCTGAAAGGTTGCCTGCGGGTTCTATTCCTGGTCAGGGAACAAGCCCAGGCTTCAGGCCAATCCCCAGTGGGGGGTGTGCAAGAGGCGGCTGATTGATGTTTTGCTCTCACATCGATGTTTCTTTCTCTTGTTCCCTCTCCCTTCCTCTCTCTCTCTCTAAAAATATACATACATATCTATCTATATCTATTTATCTATTTATCTATCTATCTATTTATGACAAAGCAAAAACACAGAGAACACAATAATAAAAAGCCTTAGAGTCTAGTTCAGATATATCAAATAACGTAGCCCCAAATTAATGCTATACAACAGTCTTGTTAGGGAAAGCGTTTCTGGTTTTTATTGGAGTCATGCGAAACAGTAATTTTATATTATAGACTTGAGGCCGGGTGCACGAAAATTCGTGCACTGGGGTGGGTGAGGGTCCCTCACTGCTAAATCATGCACTGGGGTGCGGGGGAGGGGGGAGTCCCTTACTGCTAATTATAGATTAGCAGTAAGATTTGTATCTAACATGGGGAGGATGCCTCTTAAATGACTTTTACAGGCTAATATTTTTCTTTTTCTTGGAAACTTTATAGAGTTTTATACCCCTTATATCCTACTTTCCAAAAGTAATACCAGCAAACACAACTATCTGCAAAGAGAGTTATAATATTACTACCGGCTTATTTGCATATTCTTTCTCAAGTGTGACATTGGCCTCAATTGCAAGCTCTTCAAGTTCTTGTTTTGCAAGTTGTTCTTCCTCAGCCTCTTCTTCAAATTCAGGTCCAACTTTCTTTTCAGTTTTGAGCATGATTTTTTCTTGTAGAAATTCTTCAAACTGAATGTGAAAGATGCCCAAGTTTTCTGCTAACTGTCTTCCACAAATAGTTTTGCCAGAGCCACGGGGACCCAGAAGGCATATTCTTAATGGAGGAGCCTGCCACAGGGGGAGGGTCAGGGAGATGTGGGGTAAGGGAGAATAAAGGAAAGAAAGCTTTGAGCTATTTTAAAAAAAAAGAGGTTAATTAACTGCCTTCCCTAAGACTGAATTATCACTTAACTAATTCAGGGCTGTTTTGACATTAGGAGATCAATTAACATGATGCATTACATCAACGGTAGTTTTTAGGGAGCATTAACAATCATAAGACTATTTTGATATCTTGTGCCAAAAGGCATTTAATAAAATAGAATTAGTTTGGGGTTTTTTAAAGTTTTAATTTACAAAGAATGGAAAGATACATTTTTAGCATGATAAAAAGTCTAACAAATTATATTAAAATGGTATGGCAAACCATTATGAGCTCTATAGAAATACATAAACTTTCTATGATATAATATTAAGAGAAAAATATTATAAATACTATATACACTAGAAACAATATATACCCATGTGGAAGAAGATGGAAAGTAAAACATAAATATGAAGACTTGTTTAGAGCTGGTGTTACTATGTGTGTGCTTTGTTTTTAAAAATGAATAAAATATTGCCACAATGTGTTCTTTTATTAATTGCGTTAAAATATACATAACATAAAACTTACCATTTTGACCATTTTAAGTGTAAATTCAGTGGCATTATGTATATTCATAATGTTGTGCACCCATCACCACTCTCTCTCTCCAGAACTTTTTTATTATCCCAAAACTGGAACTCTGTACCCATCAAACAGCAACTTCTATTCTCCCCTTTTCCTAGCCCCTGGCAACCACTCTTATTTTCTGTCCCTATAAATTTATTCTAGGTACCTTGTATAAGTCGAATTGTACAGTATTTGTTCTTTTGTGTTTGGCTTTAATAAATACTTTAAAATATTTTTTATTGATTTCAGAGAGGAAAGGAGAGAGAGAGAGAGAGAGAGAGAGAGAGAAACATCAATGATGAGAAAGAATCATCGATTGGCTGCCTCCCATACACCCCCTACTGGGGACAGCACCCAGAACCCCAGCATGTGCCCCAACCCAGAACCGAACCATGACCTCCACTTTCATAGGCTGATGCTCAACCACTGAGCCAAGCCAGCTGGGCACTTTAATAAAATACTTTTTAAAGAATGTAGAAAATTGTTCCAAAGTGGGAAACAAGTAAGGATAAAAACGTCCCTACAAACTTAGGAAAAGATGGATTGTTCTACAGCTACTGAAACCAGTTGAAAACAGTTTCATTGACAAGGACCACTCACCTTTCGGAACACTCTTTTGCAATCTTCTGAATCAGGGTCATCCTGCTCTTGAGAGTCAAGCAATCGGGCATGAATTTGCCCCTATAATCATGCCTCTGGATGGGACCAGATTAACAGCAGTCTCACCTGAGTAATCACCCTTCCACAGAGGATGTCAACCCACTGAAGGCCCAGAACCTCTGAATCCCATACTTGCCCGAATCCTGTCTTATGATCAGCAGACTGCTCTGCTCAGAGAGACTAACTGGTTAAGGAATACAATAAATTCAATAGATTTATAAACAATAAATTCAGCTGTGTCTTTTTGTTTCAGCTAAAGAGACAGCTATTAAGTACTGGTTTGACACAAGGCATTACAGTAGAAATCAAAACTGATCATTATTTTGGGTTATATTCCAAAAAGTTGTTCTTGGAACTTAGATGTTTTCACTAGATTGCTACATCAGATTGGGAACTTCACTATCAAAGAAAATGGTGGCTATAATAAGTCCCTAAAAAGGTAACAGGAGCAATCATTAGGATAAGAATAATATAGTTTTCACCTTTAATGGTTCATTGTGA